TATTTTATTCACTCTTTGATTGAATAGGAATATCATCGCCATCACTGTTTATACACATTTTTAAAAAAAATATAAAAAAAAATCAATTAAGAATTATATAACTCCATAATGTAAGTGACAATATGTGATTTATTTTTGAACATTTTTTAAAATAGAATAATATTTTAAAATAGAATCATCAAAGGTTTATGATGAAGGAACAATATGTGATTTATTTTTGAACATTTTTTGACATGTGAATGAACATACATTAATATATGTGTGAATATACACATATCCATATGAATATCTACCTATCAAATTCAAATTGAATAAGCATCTATCAATTCAATATTAGAGCTAAAATGTATGTGACAGGGTAAAGTCGTATCCCCTAATAAAAAATAATTCCTAAGTCCTCTAACTAAAGTAGATAGGGAAGTAGGGTCGATCTCCACAGGGAAACAAGTCTTTTTACTCCTAATTAATTATTATGATCTAAATTATTTAAGTAACCAATATTTATAAATAAGTAAGAAATTAAACTACTAAGGTTGAGAATAGGAAGAAAACAATATATGAAAGGATCTAGGGCATAGGTTCACCAATAAATAATATTCCAGGGTAAAACATAGTAATCAATCATTGACATTGCATAAATAACATGATTAACAGGCTCCCGCAATTTATTAATCAACATAGATCTAACAGGCTCTCGCAATTTACTAGATCTAAGTTCTAATTGAAAATAGCCTTTAATATCAAATTAACATCTGCTCGATTCATCAATTTAATATTGCTATACTTTTACAAGCCGCAATTGTAAAACATTAAAACAATCCAATAAGAAATTATCATGCAATACCAATAATCAATAATAGTCAATCATCAATGCATCAATTAACCAGATTGTAACGGGCTCTCGCTACGTATTACAATCACACAATTAATTTACCGGTATTAAATCTCATCTCTCGAATCTTGACTTAACCATTTATAAATTAACTTGCCTATTGAAACTAGACCTAAACATTAATTCTCATCTCTCGATTCTTGAATCAATATTGTCAAACTCATGCATAAAAGATAGGCCTAATCTAGTCACAGAGCATTAAATCAATCAATAGGAAATTAATCTAGCATTGATAATCAACAACAATAATTTACCCCTTCATATTATTTATTAGATCCCCATAAACCCTAGAAATTAAACTACTCACAAATCATCATGACTAAACTAATCAAATAAATAAATAAATAAAAGCATAATCAAGGGAGTTGTTTGGGGTAAAAATACCCTAAACACGTGGCCCAATGGCCTAGTGACACGTGGCATCCAGCCGTTGGTCAGCAGGGCTCCAATCCTCTGCTGACACGTGTCCTCTAAACCCTAAAAGGGAAACCATCCCTTCCCCACTATAAATAGTGGAAGGACCCTCATTAATGGGAGGCTGGAACATTTGTTGTTCACATTGAATACTCCTCAAAAAGAAAAACACTTACCCCGAGCAATATTAATTGCAGAATTCTCCCATTACGCGAGAAGTAACTTCTACATTACGTGCATTCTACCTCCCGTATCTTTACTAACTTGATCGTCGGAGGCGGAGCTCCTACCCCCAGGAGTCTTCGTGATTTTGCAGGCACAGGCGTCGAAGGGCATTCTTGGAATTGTAACTCTCCCGCAGGACACATCAAAAAACCCCGAAACAGGAGTAAATAAAATAAGTGAAATTAAAGGGGAAGAAATTGTTACCAAAAAGTAATCTGGAATTAAAGGAAGAATTAAGAACAAGAGTTTAGAGAGAATTTAGGAGAGAGAAAAATACTAAGTAGAGAGAGAAAGTCTAAGAAAGAAGGTAACTAATAATTCCGTACAAAACGTATTTAAACCTCTCCTAAAACAAGAATTAAAACTAAACTAATTAGCTTCTAAGAAAACACGCGCTCGATCGGGCGGATCGGGCCCGCCTTTTTCACAATGCCCTTTACTGATGTGCCGCGCTCGATCGAGCTTAGCTCACCCGATCGGGCGCGCCTCTTCCTTGAGGGTCTTTATGCGCGCAGCCGCCCGATCGAGCGTATGCTTGCCCGATCGGGCCCGGTCTTCTTCTTTGAGGCTTGAACTTCGATTGGGCTAGATTTCTCGGCCCAATCCAGATTTCCTCTTGGGTCTCGAATGCTTGGTCCAAATGCCTCGTGATCCAAATTACCGAGCCCTTAATCACCGGCTCTCACCGATCCTGGGCTCCAAAAGTGGTCGTGTCTTTCTAGCTTCCGTAGTCTATCCATAAAGCCCGGGAAATTGCTCCAAGAGTGCAATTTCCTGTAAAATACAACTAAAACTACGAAAACACTAGAACACACAAATTAGTAATAAAAGTGGCCCGAAAGAGCCAAAAACACTACTAATAGCGACCAAGGGACGGGGATAAAACACTATATAAACTAGACATATCAGTATGTCATATAATATTCAAATGACGCTCATCAACATATAATTTAATATGAAGTTAAACATGTATTATTATAGTCTATGCGGATATTTTCAATATGAGAAAGAACATGTACGTATTTACATTCAAAAAACATATGTTTAAATACCAGCAAACATTTTATTAATATGTAAAGATCATAAACAAAATTAAAATAATCTTCTCTCAAGAATAAACCCTAGTAGATGTAAGGTAAGAATGTAAATAATTATATACTAATATCATAATTAACATCTATCAAAATGAAAATGAATACTTACCAAAAGTGAACAATTGTTCAGCAACCGTATTCTCCGATGGAACCTTCGAAGTGTTCTTCTCTGTTTTGTTTCTACAAAAATACCACCAAATATAGTTGATTTTAGTCTATTTTGCACAAAAATAAGTGTAATTATAGTAGATTTTTTTAGAAAATAAAAAAAAAATAATATAAAAAACTAGGGTTTACACTCGATCGAAATTATACTAAAATGAACAAATTCTTACTCTTCTTTTTCGAAATTTAGTTACGATTCACGAACTTCATCTCGAATGTCAGGCATTTTTAGAAGTTTTGATGCAATTTGAAGTAATTTTGAAGCAGTTTGTAGGGATTTTCATGCGAATTTTTGGTTTTTGATGAAAGATAATTTTTGAAAAATGGGTTTGAAATGATGCTTTTTTTTTTGGTATATATGTGAGGAATGAGCGGTTATTTGCATTTACCGTGGTTAATGGCTGGTAACTGCTTGGTTAGTGGGTTGTGGGTAAGGGTTTTATTATAATTTCGGGTGGGGGGAGTAGGTAGTAATGGCTAAAGGAGGTGTAGCCATTAAAAATAAAAATGGAATTTCACTGGAAAATTAGAATACAAAACATATTCTAGTCCTATGCTCCTAGCATCAAAATTAGTTTTACTCTTTATTTGATGATTAAACGAAATACCTATGAGTATAGGTTACTCATGTACTCCCCCTGACAGGCTAGCACCGTATAGGGCCATAAGCAACAAGCCCCACATTAATTTGATTAATATACAAGTTAGTTTAATTTGAATCTATAATTAAGTAATGAATCAATTTTTTTTTTATCACAAAAGGGAAAGTACTTATATTATACCATGATAAATCTGAAAACATCAGACCAAAAAAGGATAGTAATCTGATGATAAAGATCAACAGACCAAAATGATGATAATAAGAGGGCGTAGATATCCACTTCAAATTATCAAAGTTTATCTTACAGCCATAGACGTACAACAACATAACTAAAAACAGAAATAAAAGAAACAGAATAATAATAATGAAAAATTGATTCTAATAATCCCACCTTTGGCCAATTTGCTGTTAATAATCCCACCTTTAGATTATTATTTAATAAACCCATCTTTGTAAGGAATCTTCTTCTATTGGTCCTTAGTGACCGGTAACCTGTACATTAGGTAAACTATTTTGTTTTTTAATTTGAGTGACACATGTCACCAAATAATTGGTCAAAGAGAAAAACCAAAAACCTTTAAAAATATTCTGATTAAAAAAAAAATCTTTTAAAAAAAACCCAACCGACCCCAACAACCACCCTAACCCCCAACCTCCGGCAGCTCTCCTCCCCATCCCCACCGTTGGAACGCGCGCCCATCCATACCGCCGGAACCCTTATTCCGAACCCCACTCAAGGAAAACCAGCCATTATTTCAATGAATTAAAAAAAAAAAAAGTAAAAAAAAAAAAAAAAAAAAAAAACCTTCAATAGCAGAAGGGGATGGCTTGGGTAGGAGTTTCAAAGGCTAGAGGGTCTTTTTCGGTGAATTTTGGCAGTGAGAGGAGGTTTTCGATGGTTTATGACATTTTTTCAAGGTGGTGTTTATGGTGGTTTCTAGGTTGGATTCGTTTTAGAGGGTGATATCGTGGGTGCCTTTTGATCGGCTGGGTGGGTTCTGATATTGGGGGGTTCTGGTCGGCCGTTTACGGGGGGTGTAGGGTGGTGGACGGCCGGATTTTGGTGGGGCTAGGGCGAGGGACGAGGGTTAGGGTTCCACTGCACGATGGGTGGGGGTGGCTAGCTGGTGGGGCTTTTTTTTTTTTTTTTTTTTTTTAGTTTTTAACTTTTTTAAAAAAAAAATTCAACCAATTACAGAATGACACATGGCATATTAACTTATCAAAACCGGTTACTAACAAGTTAATGACCAATAGAAGAAAATACCATATAAAGGTGGGATTATAAATCAATTTTTCCAAATAATAATTGTTCTTCGGAATAATAACAGAGGGAGTGAAGAGCTGCGCAGCATGACTAAGGAGTTGGCATTTCTGGGACTTCCAGTGCATAAATCTGGTAGACTTTAGGAGGAGGATGAGTAAAAGGAACTGTTTCCCCTGACTTGAATTTTGTTCTTCCCATCATGGCTAGTCTATCATCAACAAAATTAACACTCCTGCTGGCATGAAAAATGTAACATTCCAGTCCATTTCCAAGAGAGAAGCTACATCACAAATTATATTGCCCAAATCTCCATCCCCAAAGGATTTGAGATCTTTCAACATCTTATTTAAGATCTGCATCGTTTTCAAGCTCTAGATATTTGATTTTCTTCTCCCAAGCAAGAAGTAAACCTTCCCTAATAGCCATAAGTTCAGAAGAGGCAGCAGAGATAGCATTAAACTTAGCAGCAAAACCAGTAACCCAAATGCCTTTGTCACAGTACACCTGATGACACCCCTCCACCAACATTATCCACACTGATCCAAGAGCCATCAGTGTTCAGTTTATAATATCCTATCTGAGGGGGAGCCCAAAGCCTAGGAATCTAAGCAGTGGAGGATGATGGAGAATCCACAAGAGCAGCCTGATTTAATCTCAAACAGAAAATATAATCCACATAGAACTTGTTAAAAGTAGTTTGTATAAAAACCAATTTTTGTTCAAAAATAGTTACATTCCTAGTACTCCAGATGTGCCAGATTCAACTGAAAATGAAAATATTTTTTTTCCAAGAAGTGCTATTTGTGAGGTATAATCCAACCATTCAGTTAGATTACTATTATAAAACTTCTGCAAGTCAACATTTGAAGAATTAAATCTCAAAAAAAACCATGGACCAAAAAGCAGAATTATTTGGATAGTCCCTGAATAGATGAATAGTATCCTCAATGGGGGCTTCACAGCGCATACAAACAAGGTCAAAGTAAGTGTTTTTTCTTTTTATAGTGCTCCCAACAGGTAGAATATCCCTAATTAAATTCCAATGAAGCATTTTATACTTATAAGGGGTTTTAATTTTCTACAGGTTTTTCCAAGCAAAGGAAGAGAGAAAAGAGGTATTAAGGTTAAAAGGAGGATTGTAGAATTGTAAACACACTTAATAGAAAAATTGCCAGATTTGTGTAAAGTCCACTTTAGTCTATCAGAGACTTGCACCAACTTAGGTAAGGGATAGGCTAGAATTAAAGGAACTAAAGCAGGAGGAATGATATGGATAACACTATCTAGACACCATTCATTATTTCTTATTATATCAGACACATGCGAATGTCCTTTTTGAGTCATGGATGTGAATGTTAGGAATGAGGTAAATAGGGCTATCACCTATCCAATGATGAAACCAGAGTGATGTATCTTTTCCATCTCCTATATTCACAATAATACCTTTTCAAAAAACTAAATGTCTTTCCATATAACTGAGTCAGTAGGTTTAGGAATGTAATCTAAAAAATTAGAATATTTCAAGTACTTATTTTTCATAATGTTTATCCATAGCTTTTTGTTTTGACTGAGAATTTTCCATCCAAGTTTTGCCATGAAATAAAAATTCCATCTTTTTAAATCTCTACTGCCTAAGCCCCCTTTGCCCATAGGATCACAAACCACTTTCCAATTAGTCCTAGAAATAAATTTAGAACAATTAACTCTATTCCAAAGAAATTGTTTATATTTTTTTTGAAGCTCATTGATGACACTCATGGGTAAGACATTGGTTTGCATAGCATAAACTGGGTAATAATTCAAAACCGATTTAATAAGAGTACACCTTCCGACCATATTTAAAAGTTTAGCTTGCCAACCTTTAATCTTCGAACAAGTCTTATCCTAAAGGGGGAAATAGTCTAGTTGATTTAAACGTTTGTGAGATATAATAATACCAAGATATTTCCCAAAGTTGGTAGTATTGGTAATATTACACACATCACAAATGGATCTCCTGACATTATGGTTCATTTTCTTAGGGAAGATAACAGAAGACTTAAGAATATTAATGGAGAGACCCGAGATACACTTGAAATGATCAAGAACTTCGATCATAGTTTTAATATTATTAGTAGTGGCTTTTCCAAAGAGAAAACATCATCGGCATAAAATAAGTGAGTGATATTGATATTTTTAGCAATTTTTATAGGTTTCCAAGTACCATTATCCACTTTATCATGAATCATAGATCAAGGCAGAGGACAAAAATATAGGGTGAAAGGGGGTCACCTTGTCTTATTCCCCTCGAGGGAAAGAAATACTCAGTAATTTCCCCATTCCAAAGAAGAGATATCTTAAGGGTGCAAATACAACTTAGGATAAGATTAACAATATTAGCAAGGATATTGCTACTAAGAAGGGTGTCCTTAATAAAATCCCATTCTAAGCAATCAAAAGCTTTTGAAAGATCGATTTTAAGAACCATAAGGTTAGCCTTATTGGAAGCCTTATTAAAATGATGGGTCACTTCTTTAATAATGATAATATTTTCCTCGATAGATCTATTAGGAATAAAACTAGACTGAAAGGGGCTAATAAGATCATCCATAATAGGCTTTAAACGATTAGAAATACATTTGGTTATAAGTTTATAGATAGAATTGCATAATCCTATAGGTCTAAAATCAGTCATAGAAATAGGATAATCACATTTGAGAATCAGGGAGATATAGGAATCATTAATGGCAGCAGGAATGGAACCTTTTGAAAAGCAATCAAAAATAAAACTAGTGATAGAGGAGCTAAGGGAAGACCAATGATGTTGGAGGATAATAGGTTGAATACCATCAGGGGCCTGGGGATTTAAAGGAGTCCATCTAAAAAAGAATAAATTTAATTTATCCTGTGTTGGAGGCAATCCAAAATTAGGGTTAGACCAGATAGAATTGATTTTAGGATAATGATAGCTATTCATCTGATCAAGATTAATGTCCATATTTTGAAAAATCTTTATAAAATAATTTCTAGCCATCTTTTACAAGAATTAGATCATTAATCCAAATCTCTTCACTATTCTGTAAAAATAAAACTTTTCCTCTAGTTTTCTTAATATTAGCCAGTAAGTGAAAATACTTAGTGTTACAATCTGCATTTTTCCTCCAATCTAGACCCGACTTTTGAGCATAAATTATTCTTTCAATTTTATAAATATGATTTAATTCAAAAAGCAGGTCTTTTTCTAAATTAACTAAAAAGGTAGAATACTTTTTGACAAGGGCAATTTGGATTCATCAATCCTAGCCACCAATCTCCTTTTTAGTAATATTACCAAAAATATCATGATTCCAAGTCTGAATATTGGTAAGAAATTCATTTCTGCCTTTAAAAAAATCAAAATTATGCAAATCCCAATTTTTGACAAAGAAAGCAGAGAAATCACAGTGTTCTAACCAAGCAGCTTTGCACCTAAAAGGATAAAGGCCACCTTTACGCTCATTAAAAATAGATATGAATATAGGGCAATGATCAAAATAAGTACAAGCGAGATGCGATACCTGGGTATTGGGATAAGTATTCAATCAACTCGAGTTCCCTAATGCCCTGTCAAGACGTTCCTGGATTAGGTCAAGCCCTTCCCTCGCATTATTTTTTGAATCAATTTGAATCAATTTGAATAGCCTTCGACTAATAAATTAAATACATAAATTAATTAAACACTCAAATCATTATTTTTTTAGCCTAAATTAATTTGTTTCATTCGAGTGTATGCCAAAAAAAATATATGGGTGATGTGCTCTACAAAGCAAGTCGAAAAGGTAAATAGAAGACAACGCAGATAACAAAAGATATAAACAAACAAAACACCAAAGATATTCCATTAAAGACTACTCAGCATAAAATATTCACTTTAAAGTTTCTGAGTCAAAGTAAACCAACAACAACTAATGAATTGAATTACCATAATTATTAAGTAATCAAGTACAAACTCCTAATGGGGAGAAGAAATACACTAGTGCTGTTCAAAGCAAGATCTCAGATTATACATGTACCATTGCTCACAGAAAATGATCATCAGTAGCAATTGAATCTTTAACCAAAACTAGACACCAAAGTCCGAGTCCCGAGGTATCAGAACACTAGCCCAACTGAAGATACTTCACACTTCATTTCTGAGTGAACTGATAGTAAGTAAACATAGTTTAATGAATCAAGAACAAGCTCCTACAGAATGAGAAACATGCTAATTATCTTCAAAGCAACATCACTTTATTTTTCAGGTTATGCACTCACATTAAGTCACTGAGGTCCGAAATGTAGGAACACTCGCCCATCTTAAGTACTTCATAGTATTTCAAACATCCTGCAATGTCCATCTCAAGTCCATGATACCCAACCTCAATAGATAATGTTCGTATCCCTGAGTCGTGTCTTTGAAGTACGAACTTATGACATTGCATAGAAAAACATACGAAAACAAACAAAATCTAACAAATCTACAATTAGAAATGAAAAAAGAGATGGATCAGAATTCTGGCTTGAATTCTCAATAATGAGAATTAAAAACGCTCAGTGACTTCAACTTCGATCATCTGGGGAAATAATCAACAAACTAATATAGATAAAAACATTAATATTTGATGATATGTAGGAACATCTGAATGCATCAACCATCAACAAAAATGGAGATGCCAGAATATCTAATTCCGAACTAGTTTTGGCAACATACAGCGCTAAAGACGCTATTAACAAAGCGAACCAGAGACTCTAATTTGTTGCCATAGATTGAATAAATTGTGCATCAAAGAGATTCCCATTTAAGACAAATAAACATAGATGTACTCCTAAGAGTTTCTGATGTCCCATTTGCAACAATTAATTTGTTAACAATATACTAAAATCAAAATCTATAATATAAGAGTACAAACTATAATTTATAATTTGAATAATTACCTCAGAATTGCAGAATTGTGTCAACAAGGCCTATAGGCCAATCAGTCCCGAAAGATGGTGTACTTTTAATTAATTTCATCGTTGGATAATTAATCGAATTAAAAAAGTCCATATAAACTTAACAATTTTAGAAAATAGAAAAAAAAAAACAACTGTCTAACGGAGAATCAACAAGGACTCTGGACATCATGACTTACTTTGTGACGTTTTCAATTTGGGATTTACAAATATTTTCTAAATTGCCCATTGACCACATATATTGAAAACAAATAAATTACTAGTAACAGACTTGAAAAATACTGTTTTACAACAAATAAGAGAAAAATGCTCCAATCCAGTCTGTTTTTGTAACATCAACAAAGTTATTCTCCTAAAATAAACTAAACTGAACTAAAATATCCTACAATCTTTGATATCTAATCCTAGACTACCCCAATATTTCAGTTCAATTCAGTTCAATTGTACTCAAATCTGGTGTTCATCCTCCAAACACAAGTGTCCAATGTCTTAATGCTGATGTTCTTATTCTTAAACTAAGTTAGCTAAAAACACGATTAAAATTAGGAATAACAGAGATGGATCAGAATTCTGGCTTGAATTCTCGTAAACGAGAATTAAAAACGCTCAGTGATTTCAACTTCGATCATCTGGGGAAATAATCATCACTTCCATCTTCTTAACACAGATCACTAAAGCAAAAACATAACTAACCCTGATAAAACTACACAAAATCTTAGCTTAATTGATTAGGAAATGTAAAAACATTTGAATGCGTCAACCATTGAAAATAATGGAAATGCCAGAATATCTTCCTACCTCCGTTTCTTATTATGTGCAACAAAGGGGTATTATTTGTGAGACATAAAATATTACTTTGTCGCACATAATAAGAACAGAGGTAGTATTACAAACTAGTATCAGCAACATACAGCGCTAAAGCCGCTATTAACTAAGCGAACCAGAGACTCTAATTTGTTGCTGGATTAAAATTACTTTAAAATGCATCAAAGAGATTCCCATCATAAGACAAATCAATATAAACGTAATCATACTACCTCCGTTAGTTATTTGTAACTAATTGACATAAAATAGAAAAGAAAATAAAGTTACAGGTAATTTGGACCGGAGGTAATAACATATACAAGGAAATGTTGACTCTCATGGCCTGACCCAACAGATAATTGCAGCAACGCCGCTACTCAAGGTCATGGAATATGAAACCGTTAACAACGGAAAACCCAAAAGGATTCTCAACATCACTAACTTACTTTGTGACGTTCCAATTTGGGATTTACAAATTTGCCCCAATTTTTATTATGAAAATGAGATTTTCGGACAAATCTCCATCACATTTAACATAAGAAATAAAAGATTAGTACCCATTGTACAAGTATATATAAACTAAAACACTCGAAGATGAGCATCTCAGATCAAAATTCCCCCTAATTTTCATCACTTGTAAATCAATGTGCAAGGATAACATAGGATTTACTCTTCATTGATGCCCAAAAATACACAAAATTACACAATTAACTGGATATCAGTGCAACTTAATTTTCTTCAATCCCTTTATATAAAAGGAAATTGCAGAAAGATAACGCAGTTAATTATCACATCATTTATCCAACCCAGAAATAAACGGCAGAATTTCTTACAAATTCATAGATATCAATGTGCATGATCAATAAGAAAATGTCGCCATGTCCTAATTCGTGCTTGAGTTCATGATTAAACAGGTAATGTCCCATGTCCTAAACTCCCATGCCGATGTTCGAATGAATTCTCGATGACAAACAACATCAAACAAAACTAAAGCTAAAATATGTTAAGGAGACGGATCAGAAATCTGGCTTGACTTCTCATAAAAGAGAAATTAAAACGCTCAGTGATTTCAGCTTCGGTCATCTGGGGAAATAATCATCATTTCCATCTCCACAAGACATAAATTTAACACATTACAACATAAATGAAATGTAGGAACATTTGAATGCACTAACCATTGTAAATAATGGAAATGCCAGAATATCCAACTCCAAATACTTTTGGCAACGTACAGCGCTAAAGACGCTATTATCAAAGCGAATCAGAGACTCTAATTTGTTGCCTTAACATTTAAAATCAAACAAACATATTTTGAAATTAACAATGAAAAGCCTTCATTGCTTAATGCAAAAGATTTTTAATTACATGTAAATCTCTTGGAGCCAATATCAATTAAATTTAGCTTCTACAAGAGACTTCATTCATATCTCCGTTCTTGCTTGCAATCATTAGGCATTCTAAACCATACTTTAAAATCAATTCCATTTTCAAAATCAAAGTAATTTCATTTAATTGGATATACTAGAATGCCTCAGAGGTAGTGACAATTTAGAGATATCATCAGCTTATTAATCTGATATAATACATTCTAATTCAATACATCATTGGCAAACTATACTTTTATAAAAAAAATACTCATAAAAATTGTAATTTTGCATCCTAAATTTAAATTATGATTAGTGCATCAAAGAGATTCCCATTTAAGACAAATCAACATAGTATACTCCTAAGAGCTTCTGATGTCCCTGTCTAGTTTTATCATCATCTGCACCTATTAATTTACACATACTAATTAATTTATTTAGACTTAAATCTATAAAATTAATGATAAAAGCCCAAAAAAGCCTCAGATTGAAATTAGTTTCATTGTATTTTACTACTCAAAGTATATTTATCGCCATCACCGGCTAAAAGGGCAATATTATATCTAAAACTAAAAAACAGTTTAAAAATTGAAACTTTATTCATTGAATGATTTTTAAAAAGCCTCAGAATTGCAGAATTTTGTCAACAAAGCTTTTGGGCTAATCAGTCCCGAAAGATGGTGTTTTTTAACTGATTTCATCCTTGGCTAATAAATTGAATTAATTTGAAATACGAAATTAAAATTAACACAGTTTTAAAAAAAATTTAAAAAATAATTTATTAAAAGAATGAACAGAATGTCGACTCTCATGGCCTGTCCCAAAAGATTAATGCAGCAACGCCGCTACTCAAGGCAATGGAATATGAGACCGTTGATTTGACGGAGAATCTCGAAAGACTCTCAACATCAAATCAACTTACTTTGTGACGTTTTTACTTTGAGATTTACAAATATCATCTAATTTGCCCCAATTTTATGTAAATGAGATTTTCGGATAAATCTCCGTCACATTTATTAAAATTTTAAAAATTTGGATGAATTAGAAAAGATACAATTATACTAATTTGAGAAGAAGATTCAGGAACAATGAAAATGTACTTCATACTCGTAAAGAGTCGGATCAAGTGTTGGATTATATATATTTCATTGGATCATCCTCATCAAATACTAAGCAATCCAATTAATCTAAAAAATTGAATTAAATCGATGTTTCAAACTAAAAATTTGAAAACTAAAATTTAAACAAATAAGAAAAAATAAAAGTTGATTGAGAGAGAGAATTACTCAGTTCAGCGGGGTTTTCGACACGCAAAAGAAGTCTCAAGAGTGAGAAATTCCTGCAATCCGGTCTGTTGAGCTTGAATTTGTGAAGTCGTCACTGTAATTCTCCCCCAAATTGGAATTATTAAAACCCTAATTTTCGTAAAATCGAAAAGAAATAGCAGAAAATTGTGAAATAGAGAGAAAAAGTATGATGAATAGAAGAGAGGCGGAGACAATGAATTGAGTAGGATCTGGGAATTGAATTTATAAGAGAGAGAAAGATTGGGGAAGTTAGGGTTTTTCCAGGGTTTGGACTAGGGTTTTAATTGTTAAGGAGTAATAAGTCGGTTTATGTTGTTTTTGGGCCAAAACCTCCACTTTGTAACTGGTTTACAGCCCACTCTTTTAAACATGGACTTTATGGTTTAGAACTTGTAGGAATATCCAAAACAATCATTAGGTTAGGTTTTATGCAAGGGTGCATTAGGGTTGCAACTGATTCTAGGCAAGACAAATTTTAGTCTGTTCGTGCTAAGTTTGAAAAAATAAATACGTAATATTAATGTTTGAGTTTCTTGAGCTTGAACTAGCTTTTGAAAATCTTGTTCGAGCTTGGCTTGTTAAGGATTTGACTTGTTCCAGCTTTGTTCAAGAATGTGCTCGTATTTATTTCGATCAATGGAACGGGCTTGTAAAAAATGTGTTATTTTGACGACATATCGAAATTGAAAAAGGTATAAAAAGGACGAAATCTGCATTCATCGATCATATTTCATACGGAGGGTCTGTTCTCATACGTTTATTTTGCAGTTCAGTTTAGTTTAGTTCAGCTCAGTTCAGTTCAGTTCAGCTCCTAATTTCCTTGTCTTATAAAATATTCAATTCAGTTTAGTTGAGTTCAGTTCGTTCAGTTCAACTGAGTACATTCAATGAGAACAGACCCGGAATACATGTTTAAATATTCGTGTTTTTTCTTTTACAATATTATAAACGTGTGTAGATTGTATAAGGAGTGGGAGTATACTTTCATTCCAAAGCTACTTTTTTAAAGCACCAATGTCTATATAACTACTTGTAAAATTGCTACTTAAAGTTAATATCTCTTATTCTCTTCATGAAGGAAAAATAAATTGAATAAATCAAATTGTTGATGGTCGTTCCTTACAAAGTATTCGTATCTCATAATAACCCTTTTTAATCTTCCCCACCAAATAGCTAATCAATGTCGGGCCAATGCAAGCAGCTTTTCAACCTCGACAATTTTTGATGTTTTTTAGGTTGTTTTCCCTTTTTGTTGCTTTATTTTGTTTCTGATGTTGTTAAAAAAAAAAAAAAAAAAAAAAAAAAAAAAAAAAAAAAAAAACCCTTCAATCAAAAGGGGTAACTCACACTCCTATGTTCTATTCAGCTATTCTCATGCTCTCTTTCTCCTCTTATATTACTTCCACAACTAGCAATATTCATTGGCTACAACCTTTGTTACACACTAGAGCAAGTATAGTTTGTGAAAACAAGGCCTTTTTTGGTAAAGTGTTTTTAACTTATTTTTCCCAGTTAGAGGCTTGACCAATTTAAAAAGCTAATTTGGGTTAATAGCTTATTAAAAAGAGATTTTTGGGCTCAAAAAGCTATTTTAGAAAAAACTCATAAGAGCTTTTAAATTATCTTTTTGACTCTTAAATACACTAAAATAGCTAGCAATTAACAGCTATTTACCAAACACTTTTACACAATCAGCTAATTATAACCAACTAGTTAAATCAGCTACCCACTAATTACCAAACAAGGCCTAAATTTAAGTTTGATTTACAAACACCACTTGGTATGTGAAATCATCTAAATAAGTTTTAAAAGTTAGGTTATTTAACTTTTAAGTAAATTTGTACTAAAATGTAAACTAAAATGAATTGCTTACATTCCTTTCTAAGATTTTTTTTAAGGCCTTGTCTTTTTTTTTTTTTTTTTTTGACAATCTAATATTATATAAATAAAGTAGGCATTTTTCAAGAGTCTTCGGCGCACCACATAAGAAAATGTATTATTTTGACCATGAAAAATTAGAATAATAATTTATTTTAGAATTAAAAAATTCACTCACCACCTAAGGAAAAGTGAAATAAGATTCAAGAATTTTGCCACATAGATAAAAACAACGAATTGTGAATAATTAAAATTTAAATTATACAAAAAACTAAAAATTATCTTTTTGAAAAAAAAACTAACAATAATCTTTAAATATTAGGATATAAATTATTAAAAAAAATAGATTAATTAGTATTTTTAATTTTTTGATATTTATCAACAATGGTAAGATGATGTGCATTATAAGATAATTTTAGACAATACAAGCTCAAGAAACATAAATAAATAATACTTAAAATTATATCACAAATAATATTAGATTTAAATTATAAACGTTTTTAATAAAATTTGTGATACCTACGATTATAAGATAATTTTTTACAGCGTTATAAATTAACGCATCACACGACATCAACGAAATTCCGTATCAATACAAAACCCAATCAAGGGAATTTGTGTTAGCAATTTTCTCTCAGTTTTAAGTCATCAATGGTTGGGTAAATCTTAGCTTAATTTTTAAAATTCTATATTTGTAATTATTACTTACATTATGTTCTTTGGGAAATCTAAGGAGTATATGTTTATGTTTTGTTTAATTTATTGAATTTTGTTTTTACATGCCTATCTAATTTAATAGGAGAATTAAATTCAAGCAACAATTGATTGGAAAATCAAAGTACAAGCTCTCGCCTATTTGACATACTAAACATCCGCAAATTAAACAAGATAGCTTAATGTAACACCCTAGAAATTCTTTTCTTTTAAAATAGTTGTTTTGCCCTGTTTAAAAATTTAAATAGGAATATCTAAGATATTACCGCCACCGTGAAAACGGCTAAGGCAACCATCAAAGACACACACCGGAAGACTAATTTCAAAACCATTCAAAACAAGTCAACTTGAAAAGTCAACCAACAAAAGTAAAGTCAAAACCAAAGTCAAACGAAGTAAAATAAAACCATCCTACAACTTGGAACCATTGTAGGCCCTTATTAAAACCAAACCAACTTTAAAACTTTTGCGTTAGGCATGCATGTGATAATATCATAAATAATTAAAGCATTAAACACCTCATATACTTATAGAAACTAGCATGATTCGCTCTTCACTCATGCCCATTCATGAATATGCTTCATTTTCTGAAAACCTCCTCTCTACTTGTCCCAACTACTCGCCATTAGAAAATAGGCCGTCGTAGGGCCAAAGTAAAGACATGGCCAAACACACAAACACACACAATCAGCAAAGCTGAGTACATAAGCGTAATTAAACACATTAACATGCTTTCACCTATCAACACACACTTACCTCATTGCACCTATTTACAAGCACACACAACAATCAACAAGACACATTAACTAGACACTAAATAATTCATTTAGCGTTGATTACGTATCGAACGGGTTTCCAACTATACCTCCCCCAAATCAATTGAGGTTAACTGACACAGGAGCTAACCGTGCCAGCGACAAAACCACTCAAAGGTGGCGGAATTCCTGCGCCTAATAATAAATAAAAAGGAATGTACATCGTCCTGTATTTTATTAGAAGTTATGGTTAAATATAAAACCCCATAACTCCTCCCATTGTTCATACTCAAGGTATATGCGTTCCAAGAGTTTTGGTGCGTAATCTCTTTCACTTTACGTTATTTACATGTTATTGGACTTGGTGATGACTCTCAAAGCATAATAAACCAATCAACAATAATTATTCAATCAACCAAACATACCAATTTAATTCTTGAATAATTAGTGACTACATATTATTTAATGTTGAACCCTTTTTAATTCTACCTCAGTGTCAAAGACACCTTAAACGCATAAAGCGCCAAAAATCCTATCCCCTCGGTGTTAAAAACACCTTAAGTGCACAAAGGCACCAACATAAAATTTATCCCTTGTGTACATAG